CTCTTAGTATGACAATCTCCAGGTCCATCCATGTTGCCGCTAATGTCATTATTTTATTCTTCTTTATGGTTGAGTAGCATTCCGTTTTATATATACCACATCTTCTTTATCCAGTCATCTGTCGGTGGACATTTGGGTTGTTTCCATGTCTTGGCTATTGTGTCTAGTGCTGCTATGAACATTGGGTGCATGTATCTTTTCCAATTAGAGTTTTCTCTGGATATATATGCCCAGGAGTGGGATTGCTGGATCATATGGTAAGTCTATTTTTAGTTTTTTAAGGAATCTCCATACTGTTTTCCACAGTGGCTGCACCAGTCTACATTCCCACCAGCAGTGTAGGAGGGTTCCCTTTTCTCCACACCCTCTCCAGCATTTATCATTTGGGGACTTTTTAATGATGGCCATTCTGCCTGGTGTGAGGCGATACCTCACTGCAGTTTTGATCTGCAGAATGGCTCCACTTTAAAACGGGACAATACCAAGTGCTGCTGAGGATGTGGAACCACTAGAGCTCCCCCACCCCGGGGGGGGGGGGCTGGGAAAGGTGCTGCCAGTGACTGTCCCCGCAGCTGCTGGAGGAAATTAAACCCACTCTGACCACACAGCTCCACAACCCCTGTTCCGTGTTACCCGAGTGACAATAAACTACCAGAATCAATTCCAAGGGCCTTCAAGGGGTGAAGGGCTGATCAAGCTGGTGCCTGGGCCCTGGAGGGGTGCTGAATTTCCAGGGCGCTCTGCCCAGTGACAGAGGCCAGACCTCAAGGCTGTGGCTGCTTTATTCCATTTATGTGACGTGCAGGGGACGAGCCACAGCTTACCAGGGCTGGGCCACGGGGAGGGCTTGAAGAAAGAGGGGCTCCAGCGCTTTCCCAGGGTGGAACAGCTCTGCAGCCTGAACGCGGTGGTGCCCACTGGACTGTATTTGTAAACACTGGTACAGCGAACAGGGTGCATTTTACTGTATTTCTTTAAAAAAGTGGAGAAAGAGGCAAATGCTGTCACAGTGTCCACCCCTATCATGCCGGGTGGTTGGCGCGGACCCGCTCGGGCCTCTCCCATCCCGGGGCTCACTGCCCCTCGCGCGCCCCCCGAGTCCGACCCTTCCCCAGGGGACCTCCGCAGGCTGCACGGCTCCGTCACCGGCCTCCCCTCTGCAGGCGCGCGCGAGATAGCCCCACCC